TCCCGCTGCACAATGGCTTCCAGCTCCTCCTGTTTGCCGCCCATGCTGCGTGCATTGGTGTAGATGCACTTGAGCTGGGCTATCGATTTCACCCCCAGCATTGGCAGGTCGTTACCCTAGGCTCATCTCTAGTGGGCCTGGTTTTATCCCCTTCCCCCTTTGAACCTAGTTTAAAGCCCTCTCAATGAGCCCTGCCAATTCATGAGCAAAATGGCAGGGTGGGGCATGCCATCTTAATGTATGTCCTATCTTAAATGTATGGAGGAGGCTACTTTTGGCTGTGAAGAAGTCTGTATGCATTTTAGTTCTCCTCTCTAGCAGATGTAGCAAGTACATTTATTGACTGTTCTTTTATCTTTTTCTGACCAGCTTTGTGGTCTCATCCAAATGCTCTAGGATGTAAATTATTTGTGGGTAGCCCAAGAATGGGTACAGTTCAGGTCTTATATGGGCCTACAAATGGTAAAATATAACCTTCTGTTGCCCTAGACATTGTGCATGTGAGAGTTTTCACCTGGTCACGACCTCCTGCCTGACAGATAGCACAGTGAGTTTAAGCTCAGCTCTGTCTGCGTAGGGCCACCTGACACAGCTGCAAGTTTTCCTGGCTACTGTCGGCAATTCCTGCACCTCTGTGTCACCCTCCAGAAATTCACAACCAGGTGGAGACAGATAGCAAGGGCCATGCTAAAAACCATCGTGTTGCACTAGGACACAAACTCAGCATGGAGACTGAGAGGCATAAGTCGCTCACTGTCATCAGGCAGATTGTCCAAAACATCAGTGAAGGTGTCCTGTTTTTCAAACCCACGCCCTCAAAGTAGGTAGGGTGCCTGGGTAACAGAAGATGCTTTTGTTCATAGCCACTGATGATCTTTCTGCTGATGATCCAATGGATCATATTGGATATAGACAGATGTCTTACTGTCACTTTGATCAAGTGAAATGGATACAAATTTTGCCTTTGACTGGTATGGTTTCCAAATGATGTATTTTGTAAAATGAAATGCAGTGTGGGAATACTGCAGTGTTTGCAAGCTAAGCTGTGTCTTGGGAGCAGCAACTAACAACTACATCTTTTTTTAGAGCTCAGAAAAGTAAAGCACAGCATTGAAGAAATGCTGCTGATCTCTGCATGGTAGCCTGCAGCTATGGTGACTTAAGAGAAGAAACTAGGTGTCAGACTATTCAGATACACAAATCTCTTCCTGCCCCTCTCCTTCAGTAGCACCTCTGCTTTCTATGCTTAAATAGGGAATTGCCTTCCAGACATCTCTTTATTGAAAGACTCACCTTAACTCTTTGCCTCGTGTCTATGGATTCATAGGATTCATGATGCAGAGTTCCCACAGCTGAATCAATACTTCTTATCTCTGCTGTTGTATATGCAGGAACATTGCCTGCCAACAGGCTAACACTATAGTGCTAGATCACACAATGCAGCTGTCACATTTGGGAGCAAGAGAGCAAATTTGCTGCTTAACCTGGCAGCCTGGTCACGAAGAGATTGGTTTTGATTTTGAGATGGAAATAACTGCTATTTTCAGTCCCATGGTTTTGATCTGTTAAAGTGAATTATTGGCAGTCCTGCTTTATTTAAGGAATACTCTCCGAAAGCTGCTGCTTCCTATTTCTTTTGAACATTCAGTCTTCAGTGATCTCACGTTGCAGAGAAGCACACCATAAAGCAAGCAAACAACCCTGTCACAAGGAGTTGACTTGAAGAATAACTCTAAGAAGTTTAACTGACCAAATCAAAAGCAGACTTGCTTAATGAGTAAACAAGCAGGGAAATACAAGAGTCCTTTTTTTTTTTAATAAAGTCCAAACAAAATAACAAAGTCAGAAAAAGGATGAAACAAAATGGGCCACTTGTTTTTCAAGTTGCTTGATTCACAACAGCATTTAGTTTTGAAAAAATCAGCATTTTTCACTAGAAACAAATTAATCAAGAAATGGTTAACCAGCTTTTGCAAGAAGACACCATGTGAGTAGCATACATTGAAATAAAACTGTAGGGAAATAAATTACAGAGAAAAATACAGCACAAGTAAAAGGCAAGGGTATCTCGAGGAAAGAAGTGTAATACCAAATTAAGTAAAGGGCAAAACACGAGATGTAGTTTCGCAGAAAATCTGAGCTAGCTCCAGTTAAGCTTAGCTTAGGATGCAGGAACTGTGTGCCAAATTAGCTGGTGAACTCCCCTAGCATTAATTACGAAGGTAATCTGAGCCATTCTGCCAGATTTTGAGCCAGCTGGAGAGGCTGTAGGCACCAGTATGCAGTAGCATGTGTAAATATCCTAAGTGAACCAATAATCAGAAGGGGGAAATAAACTGCAGAGCATAGATTTGGCTACAATTCAATATTTCAGTGATTTTTTTTATGTAACTTTAAAGAAAATGCAAGGGAAGGAAAAGAGAGTAGATGAGGAGGTATGACAATCTACTAAGGGTATATTATATACTCTCTACAAATTATTTCAGAATCTAAGAGGGAGGAAGGAGGAAATTCAAGTCAGTATGTTTAATACATTTATTCTAATTCAATTTTATTGAATGGTTTTCAACTGTAAACGAGCTTGCATTTTAGATTCTGTGTAAAATAAATCCCTTCATAGTGCCAATATGAACATACATTTTCCCTGTGCCCTCAGTCAGCTGTAGTTTATGCATTAACAGGGACTTTCTGCTAGAAGCCTTTGTTCTTTTAGAGAGCCACTCCTCTGGGATTTAGGCTCCCTGGTTGGCCGCTGTACCGAGTTCTTCTGATAAGACGGCAGGTGGATCTGAACAGCAGCCGAAGTTAATAACCTGCTAAACCAGGGACAGGAAGGACAGTAGCAATTACACATAAAACATTTTCATTGAAAGAGTATTTCTCCTTTGATACTGCAAAAATGAAAATTGATATTCATAGCCACATTCTACCTAAGGAATGGCCTGACCTGAAAAAGGTAATAAGAGTTTAAATATTCAGTGCCTTATGTTATCAGCAACCATTTCTACCAATGTAACTTTTGAAAGAACAATGAATTAAGGGTTCTGTTATAAATATCTCTAGGTTTTTGTCTAATTTGATTTTTTTTTCAGCTTTAAGATACTTGCATTACTTTGCAAAGCAAGAGTCCCAGTAAGAAAGGGATGGACAGCTGGGCTCTGTTCCCCACTCTTTATTTAGTCTGAAGCAATTCTTATATTTTTGCTTGGTTTTTTGTGAGACCTAAAATTGTCAAATGATGAGGTGTAAATTCCACTTTCTTGATAAAACCAGAGCTGTCAGGCTCCCAAATGGTATTCACTTTCATTTTAAATAAGAGAAATAAGCAAATATTAGAGAAGATTAATGTTACTTAATACAAAATTCATTCACCTCTTATACCCACAGGCATGAAAGTCATTAACTTCAATAGGAGTGGGGTCACTCTAAGTACGGTTAATTGATGATGATGATCATTTTACTAATATCGGTTATTTTTTCAGTTACTGGAAAGAAGTAGCATATTGTATTAAAAATACAAAATCTCAGTTGTCAGAACACTGAAGCTATAAGTCAACTTGTCTTAACTTTGAATCTTTGCGTGGTATTATTGTTATTATTCCATGACATAAATTTGTTCTTGTCTGTAATAACTTTCACGATCCTGTGAAAAGTATTTGAGAATGGAAAGTGTCACTAGGTTTTCACTTTTGGACTCATAAGGGATCGCTCCAATGCTACAAAGGGTACTGAAAAAGATCACACGAAACTATATTTATATATAGTTTATACATAAATATGTATAAAATTGTTTGCAATTAAAAATTGCATTCAGATTTCCAGGATAGCTATTTTTTATAACTCTCTAATGTTTCCATACATGATAAAAAGTCAGAGTAGAAAAGAGAAGACCTGCATTGTTGCTTCTTTCCTTATTGTAATTCTGTGTTGGTTGTAGTTTGAATGAACATTCCCTGTGTCTGACAGTAGTATGGAACCACTTGATTTCATTGTGCCTGTCTTTGACAACAAAAGAATACCATTATTTCAGCCATGCTCTTAGGCATCTGACACACTAACTGAAACTTTGTTTTACACCATACCTGAGAGTTTGCCATCATCAACCTCAAAATAATTAAGTGAAAGAAATGTAAGTGTTTCATTTGTATTAGCTCTGTGTTTCTCTGATTTTAAGCATGACAGTCCAGTATCAGTTCAATATTAGCTAGAGAGCAGCTGGAAAATGTAAACAGCATATTAGAAAAAAGCCATGAAAACCTGGCATTAAGAACATACATAGGATTATTTCTTCGTTAGTAGTGAAAAATGACATCGTTACGCATAAAACCTATGCGTAAAAACATTCCTGGAAAAGAATGTTTGTTTCCTCGTTTACCTTGGAATTTCTATTTAAACATCTATTTGAACTTCCTGTTTGTAATTATAAGAGCTCCTCAATGAAAAACACATATACACTGGATAATGTAGGTGAGATGACACATTTTTTAGAACAATTATGTCTGTTTTAAATGGATAGGATTTTAAATATCCAGATTACAAAGACAGGTTACTCTTGCTTCTTTCAGATTTTGTTGTCCTTGTTTGTGCAATATCCCTATAAAAAGACCTATAAAATTCCTTCATTCTGATTTTACATAATTTTAAAAGATTTTTTTTTTCTGTATATACTTTAAAAGGGCAATAAATTCACTGAGATAAAATCACTCCAAGAATCCCTTGATGTTCACGGATGTACATCAGGGCTGAATACACTACTGTTAGACCCTATAGGCCAGTGTTGCATTTATTTAAACACTGATGAAGAGGCAAATACCAAATTTTTAAAAGTTAATTTCCACCTGCTAGTTTTTGTTTCCTCTATTCTAAAGATTGAGCGATTCAATGGTTTATTAATGGGCCCAGAATAGAAAACAACTCTCAGAATTCCCTAGAGTCCTCTGAAAATTCAAGCCATTAACATAGTTCTCTGCATCTCATGGATGAAAAACCAATGAGGCAATCCTAACATGCACACATAATGCTAAACTTTTCTTTCTTTTTCAGCCTTATACATACTGAACCTTGAACCTATGACTAGAAAATTCTATTGTCAAGATACTTATTTAAGAGCTTAGGAACCCATAATAAGTATAAAAATTCATAGAAATAAATGAAGTAAGGACTGTCAATACATCCATCTAATAACTGAGGGGAAGAAAGAAGAAAATAAGTTCAAAAATAGACCAGTGAGTTTCTTTATTGCCTAAATGCTCCTTGAGCACCTTTAAGGTACTCATTTTCTGCACAGCTTACAATTGCAATTAGCATGGAGCTAGTGAAAACTTAAAGTTCTTATTAGGTGTCATTCACAAAATTTTCCCTAAATTTAAATATGTATATATATATAAAAACACCTATAAATTTATAAATTTAGATAAAATATACATAGCTACACAAACACCTATAAATTTATAAATTTAAATAAAATATACATATATACATAGCTAAACATAGCTAAATAAAACATACATAGCCTCAGTCATTAGCATCTCTGATTGGCTGAAGTCAGGAGGCTTGGCCCTGCACACCTACTCTGGGAAAGCTCACAGTGACATTAAGTAATGATTTGTTATCACAGGAAATTCAGGACTGTATTCAAATTGTTTACACTTCAGTGAAAGTGAAAGATATGCCTGCTTTTACTCAGTTTCCTTTGAAATGTTTCATTACAGAAAAATGGGAATTCTGGGCATTGTTTTCAGTCTATTATGATATTTCAAGATTTCATTTATTTGTAATCTGATAATTTGTGAAAATAAAAGGAAATCAGCATCTTTTGTAGGTTTTGGGGTTTTTGCATAAGCAATTTTGAATCTCTCTAGAAGAATCAATGAGCATCTAAGCTTCCTTTTTAGCTTCTCTTGGCTGTTTAAATATTAATAGGCAAGAAACTGACCTTCAGTCCTACTGCTGAATCATGGAAGCTGAAAAGTGGAATCAATACATCTTTATGCTAATGATTAACTGATCACAGATTGGAAAATTGTCAGCTCAATTTTCATATTGCCAAATGCTTGATTTAATTTTTTCTGTGTTAAAATCATTCCAGTTAGAACCTCAATATAGTAAACAACTTTAAGCACTTTGAAATCAGTTGTAGGACTTACTTAAAAATGTTGTTGAACTGGGAGCTAAAAGTTCAGAACTACAAACACCATTAGTCCAGTCCAGTTAAACTTCAGCACTTCTGCCGAAATCAATCGGGCTACTTGTAGGCTCAAAGCTGAGCATATGCCTAAGTGTTTCTCCTGAATAAGGTAGTGCTGGATTGTAAGAACTGAGATTTTTATTATTATTGCAGAGTGCTAACTAGCACTGGCTTTTTCTTCTTTCTTTCACAGAGGTACGGATATGGTGGATGGGTACAGCTGGATCATCACTGCAAGGTTTGGGCTGTTTGGTGCTCTAAGCTGATCTTGTGTTGTCATCAGGAATACAAACTCACAGTAAATCTATTAAAAAGCAAAGTGGCAATAAGATTGGCTATGTCTTTGATACAGATTTCTCTAGAGGTCTATATTCTGTGATGTAATATCACTCCAAGTCCTAATATACCTCAGTAGAACTTTTTGCTTGAGAGGTGAAACTCACATTCTTGTGTATGAACCGGTATCCATTTTTCATCATCATCTCATTTTAACACTTGGAATGGATAGCTCTAAGGAATTCTTTTCAATAAGATAGGTCAACCTAAAGCAGATTACATGTAGATTTTTTTTTTTTTTTAGTTAAATGCAGTCGTCTTTATAAGAAGCAAAACCAAAAGGAACTGGTATTTTAATAAAAGTTAAAGAACTCAGATGTGAAAATGTCTTCACATCTGAGTGAAAGGGAAAGAGTAATTTCTGTAACTTCATGACAAGGAGAACAAGTAGCAGAACAATAAGGACAATCCATACATTTGTGGACCATTATGTAGAAAAGTAGGAGCCTGAGGTTTATTGGCAAGTAAAAGGCAGACTGGGTCTGATTTTACTTCACCTTTCTATCACTGCCCACTCTCTTAGCTTTGCAAAGGCATTTCTGAGCTACATAGTACAACTGGAACAACATATCTCCAGATGCCATGAGTCTATGCTAACAGTCCATCAGCATTCAGAATCCATCCTGCTGGTACTGAAGTTAGCAGAATACATGTATTTACTCTGACAGGGACAGAACTGGTTTCTTAAAGGCTTGATTCTGATCTTACTCAGGGAGGAGCAAATTAGCAGTAATTTCAGTGACATTCACAGTGACACAACAATGTAAAACTTCTGAGAGCAAGATCAAAATGTTGCAGTTTATCTTTTGAGAAGAGCGTTAAAAAATTACCAGTATTAGTGCTTTTTTTACAGGAGGGCACAAGGACCTAAGAGAGGTAAGGCTGATACGGCAAAATAATTCCCTTTGTACATTACTATGTAGGTTAACTGTACCAGCTAGTATTAAAGATGTTACCTCTGTTACCATATAACAGCTTTGGCATTCAGATATCCTTGTCTGTCTCAAACACTGTCACAGGAAGCCAGCTTCCTCCTGTGATCTGTCAGCTCCCCACTCCTAGGAATCTTTTGGAGAGCCTGTCACTGCAGATGGCACTGGCCTCTGGAAGGAGGGAGATTAGAAAGATGGCATTAAAAAGAGGTCTCGGGAGACCTCAGTTCACCTTCCACCTCACTTCATAGGTACCTGTCCTAACTTGAAAAACTTCATCTCTAATTGCCTACCACAGGAATGTTGTGAGTTGTACAGATACGGAAGGGATAAAAGCAATGCAAAGTATTAGCCAGATAATGAAGGAAAAAATATGAAGACAACAGAGGTTGGGTAGATAAAAGCAGAAGGAACAATTTGGATATAGTAAGCTGCAAGACAAAAGATGCAAAGTTAAGAGCATGAACAACAAACAGTGTCAGCACATAACCTACCTACAGCATGTGAAGAGTGCAAATAACTGGCTAAACCCAGCTATGTTATATAATGGCAGGCTGTATGCACGTTGTTTTACAAGGGTTAATCTGTCTCCATCTTCTGAAATTCAGACATGATCTCAATATAGGAATTCTATACTGAAAACTAGAGTGGTAAGTGATGGAAGGATTTAGTACTTAGCATTTTCAGGGTGGCAGTGCCTCTCTCTGGGTGATCTTATAAAGAAAATAGTACCCAATCTTCTTCATTGTTTCTTTTTGTGACTTGGCTAATTCATTCATTCTCTGTGGAGATTCAACTTTTATTGTCTTTAGAGAAGCAAGACTTGCATCTTCCAGGTAACCAAGGTATTTAAATATATAATGCCTCTTAGTTTCAGTGGAACTAGATATTCCCTCATCGCCTTGTCACTTTGCAAAATCATACTTCTTTGTGATTGTATATATGCATATATTAACTGAAAAAAGCTGATAAAATGGATAAAACACTGTGTCTATTTATTGCAACCTAATGATATACACACTGTTGTCATTCTATAACGTGTAAGGCTATGCTGTCAAATGCCTAACAACCATTTATGAAAAAGGACCACAGAATATGAAGGTTGGGACCGAGAATGAGGAGCAAACAAACATGATGCTGAAATTTCAGATCTGAGTCTAAGCAGGCATAGGAGGAGAGAACAAGCCACCTGCTGAACCAAAGTGTGGATGGCACAGCTTCTGAGATACATGGTAGGTGCAGGAAGGGGAGAATTGTTGGAGATATCTTTAGCAGCTTAGCTGTTTGTTACAGGTCTGATACTAAAATTTCTTGCTAAAAATAATTTGCAAAGGAACTTTGTGGCAAGTCAATAATAGCCTTATACACCCTGCAGAGAATTCTGTCTAGCCTACTTCTGTCTGAAAATGTTGCATGAAAAAAGTGCATGGCAAAATAAAATCCTGTTCAGATATGTGGAGCTGGGAAAGTTAACTCTTAAGTTGACTCTTAAAAATAAGCAAAAGCTTCTCATATGATTCTGTCAAGAAGCATCAGGGTCAAACTGGAAGAAAATAATTACATGCATTTTTAAAGAAATGCAATTTGGGATCTGACTGAGCAGTTTAGTGATGGGATAATTTTAAATGTAGCTTGCTGAACCAAATCAGCCTGCTGGACTTAATTCTTAAATCTCTCTCTCTTAATTTCCACATAAATTAATTAAAGCCTTAAATACCAGATAATGCTTAGAACGGGATAGCATAGAACAGGAAGAGAAGAGAAGAGAGAAGAAGAGAATGATAGAATTCTTCAGCTGTGCCCTTAGAAAATTGTGTTAACCCTGCAAATAAAAATCTCATGTCTTTTATGAGACTTTCAGCACTGCATCCATTGCTTTGGAACCTGAAAAATTTCTTTCTGATCCATGTTTCATTCTTACTACTGCAAAAAACTCTGAGAATTTTTTACCAGTTGAGATGTTTGAGTAATTTCTCATTTTAAAAATATCAGGTGCAGATGAGTAGCAGTGTCTAGAGACTGTAGCAATATGACTTATTTTCCAGTCACAGTGTTGCTGGACCGGATCTTTCCATCCTTACATACACAAGCATGAATCTATTCAGATGATCATGTTTTGCTTTCCTCCATAATCAAGTTTGTTGTTGCCAACATACAATGCTGTGAGCTTAGCCTCGACCTGTAGCATGTTCACAAAGAATCAGTTAATGCAAATGAAAATAGCAAACTGTTCAACTAATTCTTCAATGAGAACAGCACATGGCTTATTAGAAACCTTTCCTATATTGCAAACCCTGTTGCAGCATTCGGAGAACAACTATTTATCTCAGCATTTAGGTATGAGCACTGTCAAAGTTGCTAGTAAAATTACAATCTATCTAATATTGTTTTCAGTTTTAGCGGAAGAAAATATATACCAGCAGGTCAGCTGCTATGCCTTAGCTATGCCTGAGGAAAGAATTAAGTCGCCTGTGTTCACAGAAATACAGTAATCCAGTAAAGTCCACACGATCTATTTGTATGCGATGCAATGCTCAGTTCTACTCTGTCTTTTTCTCTACTCACACCCCAAATATTTTTCTGTTTATTAGGCAATGTGCAGCAATGCGCTGATCTCTTTTTAATGTATTGGAGTGTATGGCTAGGGTAAACCTTTCTGTCAGGTTGGAAAATCAGTTTTACAAGAACCTGAAGTATTTTACCAGAGGATCAGGACTATGTAGTTGTTATTACTGACTGTAATATTTCAAGTAATTTTCACAACCTGTGATACAGCTAACAAGTAACTTGACAGTTTGCCAAGGCAGCACAGTTAGATTTGTTGAAGAGAAATTTAAAATATTCATTAGGGCAGTATATTTGTCAATGATGTATGAAGTTAGTAACAAATTCAAGGTTAAAACAGTCTGACTTCTCAGAAGGAGGGGACAGGAACCCAGCTCTGCAAGAAGTAGTGAAATTTTACTAGTTATTTCTGTTTTAGCATACTAGTAGGGAATATTCTGATTTAACGGGGTTTTTATTTAGAAAAACAGACAGGATCCTAAATAAACCGATTTTGTGAGGAAAAATAAAGTGGCCTTTGGAGAGAGAGAATTCCCTTTCCAGAAGGATCAGAAGACTGCCCTGCGCTTAGCTTCTGTTTACTGTGAAGGTGAAGGAATAGCTGCTGTGTTTTCTCATGTGGTTTTCAGTTTTTCAACTGCAGATGCCGTGTGTTCTCTGTCCAACACATGTGCTGCATGACTGCCTTTACCCATCCCAAATACACAGGGTCATGTGGATCTTCTGACTTTCATTCATTTCGATTTCTCCCTATAGTAGCTTCAAGCAACCAAGAAATACTCAGGCCTTGCAAGTATTGGTGAATTGTATCTCACCAATTTGTGCAAGTGTAAGCCAACAGAAAGACTGTTTTGTCTGTCTTTACAAGTCCATAGAAGCATGTGGATACCTATAACTGTAACAGACAATTTGCTTAATATGATGACACTGTGCCTACTCAACCTCTTTGGACAATTGACAAATCAACCAAAATTTAAGTTTAAAAAGGAAGTTTCCATGTTCAGAGTTAAAGGACCAGTATTAAATTTCATGACCTTGTTAGTATTTTGAACTTTGTAAGTTTGGGAATTGGTGGCATATAGGGAAGGTACTACACTAATTCAGGCAATGGTTTTATACTGCGTTTAGGTTTTGTTTGGTTTTTTTTTTCCCCCAAATACAAATTCTTCAATAATTTTTTTTTTTCCCAAGGAGAAAATGTAATCTGAAGACAACATAATAGGTCTCCTTTTGTCTCAGTATCACTGGTGATATGAAACAACAGGACTGAAATTAACAGAGTTGCACAATTATTTCTGTAATTACTGGAATCATCGTGATGCTATTGACTTTAAAAGAACACACACATACCCAAGGGGAAAATTTAGCACAGATTTAATTAGAGCATTGTTTTGAGGTCAAAATTTGGTTTGAGGATAAACTTGGATTAAGGTACCTGATATCTTTTCCAAACAAATGTAGAGTGATATACACTGCAAAAAAGGGGATTTTTTTTTTATTATGAAGAATTAAATCTGAACAATAAATGACGTTTATTAATGACTATTTTAAAATCGTCTTTGATTAAAAATACCTACTGAATAAAAATAAAAGAACAAAATTCTGTCACTGAATTTCTGTAGGGAGCACAATATACTCAAGCGACTATAAATTAGCATGTACTACTTTGTCACATTTATAATATATGAAAATGTCATTTCACAGGGACAGGCGAAGATGATGAAGGATGGAAAGGTTTTTAGAATTATTCAAGAGAACTGCTGGGATCCAGAAGTACGGATTAAAGAGATGGACCTATCAGGTACCTCCATAAAGGAATTGAAATCATTGTGTCTCATTTAGAATAACAGCAATTTCTCTGTTAGTGCATCTGAAAGTGCTCAATAATACTATCAAAATTAAAAGGTTTAGCATACTGATTCGTTAGTTTAAATCTGTTGAAAGTCAGTGAAAACTGGTATGCTTTATATTCAGACTCAAATGGGACATGTTCCCGTAACTTTCCTCATTTTCAGTAGCAATTTATTTCCCATATGGGCTCACTGATTTTGGTGGGATTGTTAATACAGTAAGGAACTAGTTGACATAAGTAAGGATGACTGACTGTGGACTTGAAAAGGCAACGCACATTCCAGGTATAAAAGTGATTTCCGTAAAAGAGGAAGCCCTTTCATTTTTGTTCCAAATGTTAAAATGATTCTGTTTACTCATAGGATTTTTTGTATGTTTGTTTCCTTTTCTAATATTTTTTTCTGTTTAGATGTTGCAACTTCATTCTGTATTTTTGCTAGAGGACTCTGAGCCTAGAGAACTGGTACAATTACTTTCTCAGAAGAGAGAGTTTTCCTGATTTAGAAAGAAAATTAACCAGATGCCAAATTTGCAAATTTGTTTTCCATCAAGTTACTTACATGCCACTAAATAAGGTTTGTAAGATGGGAGACAGAATGAGAGACGGAACTTTTAGTCTGATCAATTATTTTTGTTAGTTCTTATTAATGCTGTAATTCCAAATTACTTTTGTGAGAGAAATACTGTTACTAAAGATTATTTTTTCTTAGATAGAGGCCTGAATAATTCCCTTCATCAGTTTCTCAGTAGACACAACTTGAGTATCTTCTCCAACTTTTCATAAGGAATAAACATCTGAATTCCTTCAGAGAGCAGATATTTCATAAGTAGCATCTTTATGATTATCGTTTCCTTCTCTCATGGGATAGCATGTTAGGAGATACTTTGGGGCATTCTCCTTATGGAGGTTTACTGCAACACATAACATAGGCCAGTTTAGGAACTCAAGGGCTGGTGGGCAATTTATGTAAACACAACTTAGATAATTTTCAGCTACCTCGTTTTCACCCTGGAGAAGCAGTATTTCAAACTCTAACCATTAAACATTTAATGGGAATGCTAGAATGTCTTTGCAACCTCTCTGAAATATGCTGCCTTGACTAGACTGTAATCATTCCCTGAGTTAGCTCAGGGATTTTGGGGATAACCATGTCATTCAACCACAGTGTGGATCATAAACAGCCTTTGGGCATCTTTCCCTGTCAGATATTTCCCTCAACGCTAATGGCAAGTTTCTACAAAACAATTCTGCCCCATCTATTTGCTGTAGACAAAGGAAAAACACAGGAGCAATTTTTTTCAAATTTTTGCAACAGCTCTCCAGAAAAGAAAATGTATCATAAAGCCAACACCACAATATTTCTCCACAAGCTAAACAGTCCTCACTTGGTTAAAAAAAAATAAAAATCTAAAACTGTGTGTTACAGCACCATCTGGTGACTTGTGCCATAAAAATGTCCCCTTTTATTACAGCACTGCAGAGATACAGGCATCAGCCAATTAAGTGTAAAAAAAAAAAAAGTCTTAGTGTTTTTCATTCTTACTGTTCACCTAATGATAAAGACTATGGGCCACATTTATTCTTTTTCGGTTTACAAAGCTGTAGCTACTTAGTTCAAAGACTGTTTTCTGTAACACAGGCTGAGACAGATTATACCCAAAAATTTAACCTCCAAACATGGCATAATTTTGGAACAAAGATGCAAGGAGTCTCCCAGCTGAACAAAACTAGTATCAGTCACTGTAAGGTATTATTACCTCAGAGAGATAACTTACAGCTTGGTTGCTAAAAGGCTTTGTTTGTGCAATGCCCAAGAAATCTTGCCAGTAATAAGAAATGGTAGCCAACGTATCAAAGAGACTAAATTAGTTCGCATCATTGTATGTCCTAGGTCTATTAGGTATACAAACCTGTGTCTTGATCCACTCAATAAAACAAGCTATCAAGGTAATTCAATAAAACAAGCTGTAAAGGTAATTAACGTGACAGTTCTGTGACACAAATCATCACAATTTTGTTGTAGAAAATCTTTCAGTCAATCCTAACTGCCTTTTCTTATTATTTTCTCCTTTGTAAAACCCTCTGAAGAGGGTATAAAGTAAAGGTTTTTCTGTGCTGATTCTTCTTCTCCCTAAAGCTAGTGTCTGGGAATGTTCAGCTTGGAAATCTACCTTTAAGGTTTATGTTAAATTTGCTCAGAAGTGTAAAAATGGATTGAAACCAGATACAATGCTTATTGTGGAAAATATGGTGAATGTTCTCAAACATACTAATAAAGTGCCAGTGGCATATTGCTGGATAGTACAACTTAGCCTGTACTTTAGTATATATGTAATTTTGTAGAACTAATCCTTAAGCCCAAACCATTGCTGCTGTACATAATATTAATCAGATCTTGTAAGAGAGATGCCTGAGTCAGCTTCCCGTCTTGTTTCCTACTTAAAATACTGAGAAGGAGGATAAATCATTTTGTTAAACATTTGAGTGCTTTGGCAAGGTCATTGTCTTAGAAGAAATTCTCCTAGGGTTTTTTCTGCCACCTTTTGCTTTAGTAGTTTCATTACTAACAACCAAGTTAAATTTTTTAAAGCATGACAAAATATGTGCATAAATATTACAATCAGACCTAAAATTAAAAAAAAAAAGTTTTGCATGTAACCATTTAGTGAAGTTCTAATTATTGTTTATTATTTCTTCTGTCGTTAATCTGCTAGGTTTGCTGTGTTCATTCCTGTAACCTGTTACACACAAAGTTAGAGTATAGATTTGTGTTTGAACAGAAACCAAACAATATAGGCTTAATTCTCTTTATGGCTAACATCAAAGTTATTTCTAAAAACAGGCAGATTTTCTAATACAACCTCAGTAAGTAATACTTACTGTATATAAGTAACTAATACTTACCGAAGAGACACAGGATGAATGAAACCTAACACAATATAGCTTTGGGGAACACTTAGGAAAACATTGTTCAACAACCATAGTTAACATAATGTTGTTTATCTTTGAGCTAATTTACATATTTATTAAATATATATTATAAACACAACTCCAAAGTAAACTTTAGATACTGTATTCTGTTGGTTTAACGTCACATTCATTTATGTGAGAGTAACATTAAATTGCTATTTTAATTAATTGTACACATGCATACCAAATACTTCTAAAATCATACTACTTAGTTTCACAAATGATCTAGTATGAGTATGAAAGTGTTATTTTTCTTTCTACTTAGCAAAAATATTCCAATTCTAATAAACTGATACACTACAAGATTTATTACCATGATCCTTAATTAACAAAAAAAAGATTCTATCCATGTCACTGTTAAATCAGTCTTTCTTACCATTAAAGCTTTTACGTTCTACCTTTCAAACCAAAGTGCTTTCTTATTTTTAACATTTTACCAAAAAAAAGGAAACATTAATAACTGCTTTTTCTTACTCAGGAGTCACAGTCCAAGTCCTTTCCACAGTCCCTGTCATGTTCAGCTACTGGGTAGGTTCCTACTAGCATATTTTGTAATTCATATGTTACAAAATTTTTTAAAAATAAATGCATCCTTCTATAAATTAGGTGATCAAAGTAGTCACTAGAGCACTGAAGTAAATGGGGAATTGTTCTGCTGTGAAAAACAAAAGACAAAAAAATAGTCCAGGTACCAGAAGAGCCAGCAGGGTATCCTGGCAAAGCTCCACTCTGGAGTACACTCAGTAAGAAAGAATGAGACAACAACAGAATTTCTTCTGGGGACCTTATGGGGGTAGCTGGAAATGGGGAGAGAGAATTTACACAGCATGAATCTGTGGTTAGCAGGCAGACATATATGTACAGATTCCATGAAAGCTAGACATCAATCAGTATTTTCTCAAGAAAAAAAGAAGTAAAAGATATATTTGTGGTCTTGTCCCACTTTCTTTTAAATGTGGCATGGGACTCATTGGCCTAGAATACTTTGAATCTTAAAATTCAGTAGCAAGTTTAAATTAATATGTTCCCTGCATGGTGATCTTGAATGCATCAAAGAAATAAAAACAGTCTGAGAAGATAAACCGTAGCAAAATGCTGTTCTAAATACATTCTCAATTTGACTATTTAGCTATGTGTACAGGTTGAGTTGTTACCTGTAAACAGATATGCTACATGAAAAATCATTGTGTTAAGCCCACATATAAGTAGTACCACTGATCTTCAGAATTTCTTGTTGGGTGACGTACCTTTAAAATTTTATTCTGGTATTTATGGGAATATTCTCCATTAAATATGTATTAGGGGGAAAAACGGGAAACATTGTATGGATTGCAGTTCCCCCTTATTACAATTATGACTGTTACCTCCTTCTAAATGTCAGAGAGGTTTGCTCAAGTTTTCTCTGTAGAATTCTCATGCTCCAGCATCTCACATTTCTTATTTTTATCTCTTCAACTCCAATAATAGGAGAGTAAATATTCATTGCTATGTTTAAAAATTATATGCTGAGGTTTTTGCATTGGGATAAACAAAAACAGAGGACTGGTTTACACAAAAGACCAGATACTTAAGTGCATCAGCAACCTGGGCTTTATTGCACTCATCCTGAGCAGTAAAGGCAACAGCAGTTGATTAAATATTCAAGACAAGAAGCAGAACTGCACCCAGAGATTTTAAAGTGAGGCAGAATTTAGCCCTACTGGTTTCCAGCTATTCAGAACGTAAAGTAAATTTTAGGTTCAAACCCTGCCTCTGAATTGTTTGCAGTGACATTTATCCAGTGTCTTCCAAAGGTGGTAACATTTGAGAACTATATTTTAATGTACTATTCTGCTTAATATCTTACCAGGCCAAACCTCAGGATACTTTAGATCTAGCCCAGATATTAAATAATGACTTAGCTGCTACAGTAAAAAAGTGCCCCAAGAGGTTTATCGGCTTGGGTACGTTACCTTTGCAAGCTCCAGACCTGGCTGTGAAGGAAATGCATCGCTGCGTGAATGAACTTGGATTTCCTGGAGTACAAATAGGATCTCATGTCAATGAATGGGACCTGAATGCACCAGAACTGTACGATATTTATGCTGTGAGTAGATGTTTCTTTCCTTATTTTGGGGAATTCTGTGGTATGGAATTCTGTCTAAAAATATCTTGGGACATATTCAGTCATCAACTAAATTTATAGATATATTAAAACAATTGAGCCTTCTAATCTGCTTAGTGATCAGAGAGATTCAGCTTTAATTATATATGATAATTCATTATAGGATATAATGACAATAATACAATATAAAACATTCTGAAACATACTTTATAATAACGAATAACAAAATCTTTTTATGATATGAGTTCTCACTGTAGAGTTGCCTCCTTGGTTTCTGACAATAAGTGCAGTATCAAATAAAGCATCTCTGCACTGTTTGCTTTTGGGTTCAAGTTACTGTATCCAATCCTATTGAAATAATTGATAAAACTCCCCGAGATACCTATAGAGCCAAAGTACCATACAGAATTATGCAAGTGGGACCAAAGTTCCAAACTGAATGTATTGATTATAAAATGAATTTATAGATTGCATTTCTTAAATAGCCTGAGGTCCAGAGGAAGATGGTAATTTGTCTAAATTATGGGGTTTAATCAATGTACATTCTGTATCTGTTTCACAGGTCACTATACCTGTCAGTTTGAAATTGATCCATAGAGGTTATTTTTCAGAATGCTCAATTTACTCAAGAATTCTGTTAGTGCAGCATCTAGACTATTTGTTTTTATGGTCATATACACTCAGTTATCAACTTCTGCTCTTGGAGATGCATGCATTCACAGAATCACAACATGACTGAGGTTGGAGGGGATCTCTGCGGGTCATCTGGTCCAACCCCCTGCTCAAGCAGGGCCACCTAGAGCCAGATGCCCAGGACCATGCCCAGATGGCTTTTGAATATCTCCAAGGATGGAAACTCCACAACCTCTCTGGGCAACCTGTTCCAGTGCTCAGTCACCTGCACAGTAAAAAAAGTGTCTCCTGATGTTCAGAGGGAACTTCCTGTGCTTCAGTTTGTGCCCATTGCCTCTGGTCCTGTCACAGGGCACCACAGAAAGGAGCCTGGCTCCATCTTCTTTACACCCTCCCTTCAGGTATTTGTATACGTTGATGAGATCCCCGCTGAACATTCTCTTAGGGCTAAACAGTCCCAGCTCTCTCAGCATTTCCTTATAGGAGAGATGCTCCCACCCCTTCATCACCTTTGGACTCTCTCCAGTAGCTCCGTGTCTCTCTCGTACTGAGATCCCTCTCTTGTACTGGGATCTCTCTCTTATACTGTACATTCTTCAGCTTATGATTAACACATGTAGGAAGTAACCTCTATCACTTTCAGAAACATCCCTGGATAATAAAGATTGTGAAATTAAGCCATATCTGATAATGGACTTTATCAGTGTACCAAGCCAGTTACTGAATTGCTATTTTTATTTTACAAATGTAGATGGCAATTACTCCCTACAATCCAAAATTTGCAACTTTATGCATGTATGGGTAAATAAACCCAAATTTTTCAAATGTGTGATAATCTCCTTAGCAACAAGAGGAGGTCCAGAAATACATCTGACAAAACGAAGCTGTTAAATCCTAGTTAAGCATATGAATTACTCTGATGACTATATGTTTAAATTTAAGCACATAGTTAAATAACTCAGTCAGGATCAGCATCCTATATTGTTCTTCTGTTTCCCTTTCCAAAGATGTCAGTAGTTTTGGACAGACTAATACACTTGAGTGAAGATGGATTATTGATCAGAATACAGCTAGATTTCAAACTCTTAGGGTGGATTAGGAATAGTTTTAACTTTTTTTTAAGCCAGGCAGAGGGCCAAAGGGGGCAAATGTAGTGCAACAGCAATGAAAATTCCTGAATGCAGCTGGAACAATTCTGCAAAACCATCCTAAAATGGTTCTATAAAACATTATGAGAATTCATCCTCATATGTGTAATGAAACCAAAAGAATGCTAGTTTGAACCAAGTTTTATACTGCAGGATGGCTGACAAACACAGCTAAAAAAGCATTTTTGTACCTGAGGAACACTTGGCTTACTAAAAAGATATTATCATCAGTGTTTCCAATCCTGTAGTCTCAAAAAGAACTTTGAAACTGAGTGAGGACTTCAGGATATGGCCCAGAGGAGTAAATATAACCAACTATTAGTTATAGTTCTTACGTCTGGGCCTATTTTCATTACTGATACTAATGCTCAGTACAATTTTGCAGGTAATCTTTCAAGCATGGCTAAGAAAGAAGATGCATTTTGGTATGATTAGTCAAGATCTAGATTTTTTTCTTCTTGCTGCAGGCTGCTGAACAATTAAATTGCTGTCTCTTTGTGCATCCCTGGGACATGCAGATAGATGGAAGGATGTCCAAATATTGGTTTCCCTGGCTAATAGGTGAGTGTATATTTACTTTGCTTAATCTACATTTGTGAACTGTCACTGGATTATGCCTAGAAGATTGTTGCAAAGGTACTAGTGCAGAGAAAAACTACATGATTTTTCTATCAATTTTTTTTTTAAATCAAGTACTACGGTTAAATCTGTTGTGTAAATTCAGCAGTCATTTGTTTTTAAGCTTGTTTAGTTTGTCTAACTTTTAAATACCTAGATTAAAATTATTCAGACTAGCAACACAATCTAGTATTCTCTTTTGTCCTAAATACAAAGAGCAGATGACTAGGGAAAAGTGAATTGTCTCTGAAATGAGTTCCTCAAAAATAACATGAGTAAATGAAGGAGTAGGCAAAACCAAACATTAATTCCTAGAATTTCTTGGATTATTTCCTAGAAATAGGTTGATCAGAGAGGAAGTAAATCTCAGTTCACATGAACTGTAGCTGAAACAACATGTACTTTGAAAGCTCTCCATAGATGTAGGGAATTATCTAGTTTCTGGTTTTTTCCCCATCTGCTAGGTAAATCAGAACAACATTGACTAACAGGAGGTAGGTTATACTGCTACCTAGAAATGTTCAGACCTGATTCCACTCTCACTTACTCTGTTTTGCATTGTTTTGTTTTGCATGGTTTTGCACTGCCTCCAATAGAGGTGTTCTGAAAAACATACACAGTATACATATAATATACACTGGAAAATCTTAGTGTCCCAATTACCAGTGCATTATCTTAAAACAATATCAATTAGTCTTAATCAGAGCAGGCTCAACAACTCATATTTAAAAAGAGACTGAAATTACTGCATTTACTTAACAAAGTATTTTGTTAAGATTTTCCTACTAAACCTAATAAGGCTTTGCATCTGAGCGTATAGTAAAACATTAATGAAAGACAACCTTTTGAGCTGCATAGGTATTGTTTCCCCCATAGATGAGGGGAACTCAGGTCCTAATTTCATGCTGGATGTCTGAAGTTAGGTGCCTAAATGGCATGATATTCTAAATGTTAGGTGCGCTCAGAAACTGAGGCCTGATACAGGAACCTAAATTGCTGTTATGTTCCTAACACTGGGCATCCAAGTTACCCAGTGGCAAAGAGAGAGCAAGGTTATTTCTAAACTCTAGGAACTGGCACCATTTCATAACTAAACCCCAAATCTGTGTTGGAGTATCCACCAACATATCTGCCCCGCTTTCCACACAAAAGAAACCCAGAAGCACAGGTGAGAAGAGAACCTGGCATATTCCAGACTTGTCTTTGAGTTAGGATAACTGGGGGATCGAGCCTGTACTGTGCAGTTCAGGACATACCCAACCTGTCTGTCAGCTGTCCTAGTGGTGTAGGATAAAAACTGAGCTTAGAATTCAGAAGATCTTAGCTTCCAGTCCTGTGTCCTCATTTCAGCTAACTAATGTCCAGCTCTGTGTTCCTCTAATAGAAATAATGCGTAACCTTTGGCAGCTGCTCTGTAACTATTATTTTTTCCATAGGCCCAAGGCTAATTGAAGAAAATGAAGATAACATTTAAAACTCAAATAGGAAAATAAAAAATAAAACTCTCGTACAATAAAGCTTTTTTTGTTCTTAGGCATGCCAACAGAAACAACCATAGCCATTTGCTCCATGATTATGGGAGGAATTTTTGAAAAATTTCCTAAGCTGAAAGTTTGCTTTGCCCATGGAGGTAAGTCATATACCATGTGAAACACCTGTTCTTTAGTTGAGCATGGTACAATTGTATTTTCTGGTATGCCAGCTAATAGGGTTACCACTTTAAGCCTGCCACCAGCTGTGTACTGTTACCCCAAAGAAGATAGCCTGCCAGATCGGCTGCTTGTATGAACACTGTCTAGCCTGTTTCAGCCAATGTTTGAACTCTTACAATAGCTTTTAAGGGAAACGAGGAGGAAGGAGAGACAGGAGATGGTTTGGGAAAAGGAACAAGGAAGCAGCAGGAGGAATTTGGGCATCACAGTAGTGAAGAAGTGGGGAAAACAGAGAAAGAAGCTAACGAAGGGGAAGGAATAAAGAACTGTTGGTGTAGAGCACTTTCTTTCTAAATAGCTGACAGTAAAACTTACGGATCTCTGTTGATAATGTGGCTTTTTTTCCTCCTGCATGTTTTCAGCTTCCGTTACTAAAAATTTCTTCTTGCAGGTGGAGCTTTTCCATACACAGCGGGGCGAATCTTCCATGGATTCAACATGCGCCCTGATTTGTGTGCAGTGGATAATAAGGTGGATCCAAGAAAATACCTTGGTTCATTTTATACAGACTCTCTTGTCCATGATCGTGGTGCACTAAGGCTGCTAACAAGTGTAATAGGAGAGGTGAGTTTTAATGCTTCCAGAAGCAGGTGAGTCATTCTTTATTTGATTCTCTATGAAATAGCAAAAGGAGAAGAGAAGAAGAAAGCAGGAAGAAGACAGCATATTCACCCAGTAAAATCAGAACCTGAGCTATTATAAACTGATGGGCTTCTGCCATGTTGGTAATGTTTTTACTATATGGAGTTATTGAAATGGCGGTTTTAATCCAGGAAATCATGCACTGTGACCCTTAGTTCAGTGGGGCTAGTTCCTTGTGTAAGGTTGTTCAGGATGGGACTGCAAGCAAAGACTGCTTCATTTGGTGCCTTGTTTTCAAATTGCTTAATTTTCAAATTCAAGTGTATACTTGAAGAAATCAAATTGTATTTCCACTTGGGAAGTTATAGGCAGAAAAAAGTCAATAATGAAGTTTTTGTGAGGATCCTGGAGAGCACATTAAACATCATGGGTTTGCAAAAATATTTTAATTGTTAGAGTAGAGAGTAAAGAAATCTGTAGTTTAGCAACCTGTTCAAATCAGGTACAGCATGAGACAGAAAAATCCAAAAACATTCAAATAATTCCTTCTCATTAGTAAATGCTCAGAAGTAAATGCTGGCATCACTCATGCCAGTTTCCAACGGATCACTACAAATCAACAAGAGACCTGTATTTGTGTCTTGATCTCTGGACCTCATGGAGTTTCTGCAGCTAGCAGGCAGATACCTACCAGATGTCAAAAACAGAAATGCAAGCTCTGACACTGACTTTCTTGTCTCAACAACTGTATTCTTGTTTCCTGTACATTAGTTTCTAGGCTCACATAGTACTTTCTCACGTGTGGGGCTGTTGCTGTCATCAGGGCATCTTGTCTGACCAAAGTTCACAGAGACAGCTAAGCTGAATGTTTTCTTTTTCTCTACAGAAAAGATACTGTTGATTTTCCATTTTCATCTCTAACAGTCTGAACAGGTTACTGCAATAAATCTGGACTAGAACTGGTACAGAAGGGACTTGCCTAGGCCAGCCAAAAATAATAATGCAGAACTATTACTTTCTTTACCGTGATACTCTGAGCCCAGGTCTCAACCCTTTGAAATCCATGGGTTTTCAGTCTGTGCTGCACAGGAAATCTGTAGCTTTGAGACTGGACTTCTGCCTGCAGCTCCCCTACAGTATTTGTGCCTTTTAGGAAAACGTTGCATTTGAAGATTCATGAAATAGTCAACGATGTGACAGCACAACTACGGCTTGAAACAATACTATAGAAAGTTTTTGTAAAGTGTATATGTATGTATGCATACAATACCACTACAGCTCTAAGGAGAGGAGAGAGAATACCTCTTTCTTAAATCCACCATGAACCAAAAAGAGATTTGTGCAGGAGTCCCATAAAATGTGCGAAGAAACTACCATGCAGCCTAGTTCTGTTAGAAACAAGTAAGATAAAACCCAGGTCAGTTTGCTTGTCAAAAGATCTCTTAATAAGCTGTTAGTATTGGGAAGTTCTTATAACATCAGTGGGTATCAACCCGGGTGGCATTTGCTAAGTTCTTTCCATACATATAGACATGTTTTTGCATTTTTTTTGGCAGCGCTAGTCCTAGTGAACAGTGATGGAGAGATCTCTGTGTCAGGGATGAAGTTTTAGGCACCAGATGGGTTACTAATGAAATACTAGGGCTCCAGCCCAATATTGATTTCTGTTAATTTCTGTTACCAACCTCTAAATAGTAAATATATCATGGTCAACAGCCCAGGACTTTATACTATGCATTACCTTTTGAATCTAACTGTAGCTTACAGTAATCAAGTGGCTTTAAGTAGTTTTTACAATAGATTCAAAAATTTTACCGGATGTGATATGCACTTCCATTTTACAAGATACCCAAAGGCTTACAGAGTAACAGTTCAGCACTTGCCTTCAGTTATCTCCTTTTCTGAGAAGTCTCCCCAAATCTGGACCGTGTTCATCCTAAGCATATTCTCGTTCTACATGCAGTCATAGTATAGCAGGGATGAGTCTAGCTCTTGAATTTCAAATGCCATGTTTAGATGGTCAGATTCCTTTTTTTATTGCCAAGGAGACAAGATCACTTGCTTCTTTTTTTTTTTTTCCATTTTAAAGTGTTGGGAGACATGTTTTGCCATTGTTAGAAACACCTTGGTAAATTAGAAGCTGTGTGACTCAGCATGGCTGAGACCCACAGATTCTTTTTCCTGGGCTGATTCTGGTTTTAAGCTGAACTATGGATGCCAAGAGCAAAGCAGGACAGAAAGTACAACAGGGTGTTTAATCTATTGCTGACAACTTTTTTTCTGTTTTAACTTGTATAGAATGCAAGTCTCATAGCAGTTCTGCTTTAGAGTAACAAGTTAGCTTTGCATCTCAAGGCTGCTCTAAGCTATGGCCGTTGTGGGAAAGCTGCTGTCTTTGCACCACACAAACTGCAACTTCTCTACCTTTCTTCCTAAGAAGCAACACATAGACTCTGGCCCTTAATCATGATTAGTCTTTGCAACTGAAATTTAGTTGTTTGAGGGGAGAGAGGTTATGGATTCTAATTCGATAATCTAAAAGTCACTCAGCAACAGCCTCTCTGGTGTCTCATTTATTTTGTCAACAGACTTCTGAAATTACGTTTCTTAATGCAGTAAATTTGACCAGTGTACTACATGGGATGTTGGTGTCTTCTTTAAGTATACTCCTCTGAGTATTTTGAGCTCAAGCAATGTGACATGAGGTGGAATCACAGTGGCTGAAAAGTCATGAGTCAGATCCCAAAAACTTAAATGCTTTTAACGCTCCAGAGAACTTGAAGAAAAGTACATTTTCTTTCCCTTTTTCATAGCCTAAGACATCTTACCCTTGAAAAAAACATTCACATCACATTTTCAAGCTTTACTTTATAACCATGAAGATTAAAAAGTTCCCTCTTTTTTCCAATGAAAGTTGATACTCTTACATAATACCATTCCAAGAGTCAAATGCTTAAAAGAATGCCAAATATCTCACTGTTTTCAGTGCAGTCATGTGTTGGCAGAATAACAAATAGAAGATGAATCAATGCTGGGCTAAAAACAATGTGATTGGGTCTTGAGGATGACACTGTAACTTTATGAGCTGAAGGTTTGAAATAGGACAGCTCTCTAGAGTATAGCTAAGAGCTGTGCAGGAAGGGCATCAGTGTGTGTAAAGATGTGCTTAGACACGGCTTCAGGTCCTTAGGGAACAGCCATTACCTGGCATCAGAATGTAATGTGTTGGCTTTGAGCTTATGAATATTAAAATCCAGTGACAGCTGTGATGAGTCATGTACATTTAACTTCATCCCTTCTTAGTTTTGGGTGCAGGTTAATTGGAGCCTATCCCAGTTAAAGGAAGCAGAAGTATACATTGCTCAGAAAGAATTTCGTAGGACTGCAGAATTGCTGCAGTGCTTCGCTCCCCCCATGATGAGGTAGCATGAAATGAATACAAATAAACACAAAATCCCTAATGATGCTGGCCACAAAAAGCGAAGAACTGGGTTGACAGGGGATTAAATGATTCAGTGTACCTCTGCAGAAACTTCCCCATGGTGATTCCTCAAGAGCTGTCACCCAAAGGTAAAACATTCTCTGGCCAGAAGTTGGAGCTGAACTGGCTATAGCAACCTGGCCTTTTTTTGAGATGTGTCCTGATAGTAGGACAGAAAGTGAGATTCGAGGCAAATACAATTTTTCACTAATACAAGAGGACAAACTCATGCTTGATGCTCTTTGAGATTCATTTTAAGATTCAGGTCCCTATTACTGTGAAAAAAGTTCTGTTGAGTAGAAGGGTCCACTGAGGTTAATCATTAGCCATATGTACCTTTTCTAAAAGGAGAGATGCACTAATTAAGGTATCGAACTGTAAGTCCTCTAGGGAAAACTGACTTTGTTGATATCCTTTGGAATAATATAATAATACATCTATTATGCTAGCAGCATTGTTTATCTGCAGAGACTTCACAGGACTGAGGCTGGTTGCTGAAGACAGGTATTGCAATCCCCATTTTATAGATGGGTACAAAACTGAAGCTCAAAGAGTATAAATGAATAGCCTAATATCACTAGTAGCAGAGTAATAATGCTGCTTCTAAATTTTTCTTATTAATTTACAGCTCTTAATTTTACTGCTAATTAATAGATCACATGATTAGCTGTGAAACACTTTAAGTTAGAGGAAAAGAAAAATATAATTGAAACAATATATATATTATTCCAACGAGGGGGTGGGATTTCTTTCTGCTTTGGTATATAGGAGATGAAAACAAGAATGTACAAACCTTCCTGGCTTACTTAACCTTGACTAAGAAACAGCTGGGCAAATACTGGGTTTCCTTCTCCTTTACTTAGAAATCCATTTTCTCATATAAAGCTAGGATTGGTTTATTGGTTGGGGGTTTTTTTATATATTGCATACATTTGTTTTTCGTGTCTGAAGAAAATGTCTTGGTATCAGATTGAATATTAGAAATAAAAGAAGGTATTTAGCTGCTTAAACGTACACACATCCGAATATATTTTGTTTAATCTACACTCAGAACTTGATTTAGTATACAGAGGAGTATAAATTCTCCTATTCTAATCTTATGGCAAGACTTCTATAACAAATTATGACACAACAATATAGGACAGAACAATAGAATGTGTATCTTCCGTTTGGATTTCATATAAGGTTTTGTGTAGGTTCTTCCAGAGACTCTCGGGTGACATCTACTGGAGGTAAAAAAATAAAAATAAAAAAAAGCAGCATTTGACAAATAAGAAAAAACGAATAATTTCATAAAACAACCGAAATAAGTTTTCTTCACCCTATTTCAGTATTGGTAACTGAGTTCAAATATTATAACAAGTGCCCCAAATTCATGAGCTTGACTTCAAATTCATGAGACATTTAAAAACATACATTTTTAATGAAAACTGTGGTTTTCAAATATTCATGTCTCCAGGAGATGAAGCTTAAAGGAAAATAGACTTTGGATAAAATCAAGAGAGTTGGCAGTATGCACTGTCCAAGGTAGATAAAATGGGGAAATATCATTCCAGTGTGAAAATGAACCTATAACAATGTGGACCTATCGAGGATCTGCCTGTTTCTTTTCATCTCTGATAACAGGAATGATGCATAGAGAGTTTTATTGAATTTTCTTTTCACTGACTTGCTTTGAGAAACAAATCATATCTCGTCACTCATATTCTCAGATACATGTTTCAAACACACAGCTAATATCCAATCCCAGTTAAAGACGATGACATTTAAAAAAAATTATAGACTTCCAAAAATATATGAAATTTTGTAAATGAGGTTTTGGTTTTGTTATCTGAAGCTGAATACTAGTTAAATTATATTAAATAAAATACTTTTTTTTTTAAATTTAAATGCTTATAGTAATTCTACATTGTACCATGCTTTGAGTATTATCACATTGCAATTATTACAGCTTTTAAAGTATCACACAAAAGATAATTTTGATTGCTTTGTATTTTTTATTACGCATTCTTCTCACATATATATAATTTCAAGTTTGTGCGGGTCTCTGTGTGTCTCTGTGTGTGTGTATGTAGTCAAGAATTTCAAATTCAAGAATCCAAATCCAAGCATCTTTTCTGAGTTTGATGGAGAACTTCCCAAGATTCTTAAAGAAATGTGTCAAAAACTCTCATACTCTTTTTGGACTGCACGCAACAGTGCAGAGCACGCAATGAACATGAAAAAGAACCAACAAGTAAGTCAAGAAACAGAAGGAAGAATTCTGTGTACCCTTTATTGGCCACTTAATTATGGCAACACTTAACCAAGATTAATCATTGCATTTTAGGCAAACTACTTGCAGAAGCAGTACAAGTAGTGTAGGAGAACAACAGATGCCTTTCTGTTACATCTCAAACCAGCAACACAGTAGAGAGAATCAAGCTGAGTAGGAAATTACCATTTGTATTGTATTCACCTGAGCAATATACACTCATTCCCATGGGCCTGGGATTTGCGTTTTGAACTTCCTGTGTATCAGAATAAAAACACACCGAACTTTAGTTAGACACCACAAAAACAATAAATAACCTGTACTTTCTTCAAACTTAAATTCACCCAATAAACTCGAGTCGTTGTTTTCAAGTTTTGGTTTTTTCCTAATGAAAGCTGGAACCCAAAGATTATCCTTCGTATAATTCACTTTCGTAATTAATCAGTCCAATATATACATGTAATTTCCTGTGGTTTATTATAAATTCCAGAAAGCACGTGCAACGATATTGTTTAATGTTACTACAAAATGTACAACAAGTTTTTTTATTACCAGGACAAAGTTATTTTGGGGACAGATTACCCTTTTCCACTTGGGGAACTGGAACCTGGAAAATTGATTGATTCGATGGAAGATTTTGACAATAAACTGAAGGTATGATCTTTACATTTGGGGGTTTTTCCCCTCCTTTTTAAACGTCTGGCTTTAGACCTGAGATAAAACACTGAAAAATCAGTGTAGTACACTGATTTCTGCAAAGACTGGAAGAGGCCCTTTTGTCTCTTTGCAGCACTTCATTTTAAAGCACGAGTAAAAGCATTTGGGTGAAATATGAGTTAAGCACACACAAACATATACATGTGTTTTGTTTCTACAGGACAAACTCAAGGCTGGCAATGCTCTGGAATTTTTGGGTCTTAGCAGAAAACAATTTGAATAATTATAAAGATATTAAAGAGACCGAACTTCAGAAATAACGCTGAATCCTTAGGGATACCTCTATTTGCATGTGCAATTATACAGACGAACAATAAATCTGAGAAGTATATTACAGTCTACGGTTATTTCCAAAACGAAAGCAAGGCTACTGGAAATGAGTATGCACAGGTATTTCTGTGCATTTGAGGATTTAGGTTGACTTCAAACAATTCTGAAATCCCTGCTTTCATCTTTTGCAGTTGTAATAAGAATCTCTGAATGATAATTAATGTCATGTTATCAGGACTTGATTCCCAGGAAGAAAGAACTGAGAAAATTGTGACTTGTATCCATTACGTTTCAGGCTTTGTTATGCCCAACAAACAGAATTTAGAAGAATCTTAAAACAGAATTTAAACAGAATTTTGCTGACGCCCAATAAAAGGCAACATTTGCCTTTATCCACCGATTGAAATTGCAGCATACCACACCAGCTCAGCACTGCAAGTACATGCACTGATGCTTTGTAAATGTTGTGATAGGATGAAAAAGGTCTATGTGGGGACTTGTACTTTTTAGCTGCCTCCTACACCACTGGCAACTTATTCATCAGAAACAATTTAAATAATATGGTTGTAGGTGCAGAAATAATGTATTTTTGTGGGTAATACGTTTTGCATCACTGTCACTGTCAAAATAAATACTAGTGTTTAGCAACAGTATGGTTTAATGTTCTACTCCTTAAAAAATACTTCCTAAAAGTAAGGTTGGATACTTTAAATGTTGAAATGTTAATGCTCTATCTAGTTTGAGTCCTGCTATAGGAATGAAAAGATGGTTTACTTTATACACTATTGATTGAAATGGGTTTTTGCCATTATCCGGTGAGTGCACAGGCATCCTCCTCCTGAGAGGATTTTGTACTAGTCAGAAAAATGCTGATGAGCTCTCCCAGTCCCCATTCTCATGGGATCGTTTGCTGGCTACGTGTGGTGTCACCATTCTTCCGTTTAGTCTTAGAATACTCGAGGAAAAATAGTGTCAGACAGAATTTGTTTTTGTAGCTGTGTCCGTAACTGCCCTTATGTCACAGGCTGAACCTGAAGGATGTTCAGCAGCAGCAGTTCCTGCTGATACCAGCCTCTGTTGGACTACAAAGAAGGCTTTGTCCTTCTTTACAGTGTCAAAAAACAAAACAAAACAAGAAGTGGTTTGTGCAGGTTGATTGTATGTTTTCCTAGCTATTGCATTTGGATCTTTACTATATTGCTTCTCCAAATATATTCTACAAAAGACTACCGGACGACAGAAGCTGAAGTAGGCAGCAGCTCACAGGTTTAGGCCCTGGGAATATCAGGTTTTCATGTAAGAGGAAAAGAGGACCGAGATAAAATAGCTTTAACAATATTTATTGTCCTCAGGTTCGCAAGACTTCTGTTGACCTTTTTTATTTAAATATCTACGTGCAAGCATTGAGCTACTTAAAGGTACGATTTTTCAACCAGATTGTTCTAATTAAATTTCAAAGTAGAAGAAAGGCAACTTGGTTCTCATATAATATTCTTTTCCTTCAGCATATTTGATTTTCACAGATGTTCCAATGGATTTAAGAGGAAAATACATTGTGATTCCTCCAATACATTTTAATTGGGTCGATTCTTCTATTTTTTTATGAATGAAACCAGTTAAGTTAGCGAGAATGCAATGTTACATCTTTGGGGACCAAGGTCTGGAACCTCTCCAATAGCAAGAACAGTATTTAATTACCTTAACCTGTGACTGAATGGGTGATTGCAGCACTCTGCGTGGCAATTAATTAACGTGCATACCCTGCATAAATCAGATTCATTATGCACTGTCATTATTTAATGATATTCTACTTATTCTCAGTGTGTTAAGATTTTTAAGACAGGGAGATATATAATCTTCCCTACATCTTCCTCTTTTTTTCATTCACAAAGCTAATGTGAAATTCTAATTACAGTCAGACGAGAACATTCTTAATACTATTCCACCAATTGTTGAAGGAATAAAAAAATGTGAGTTGAACACCCAAACTCCATGCATTTTACACAATGATTAAACAATGAGGTAAAACGTTGTACTTCCAAGATTGTTAAAGGCACAAAAATATGAAGGCAAAGATCAGCTCCTAATTACAACAGAAGCCTTTGTAGTTAAGTTTCCTCTGCACATGCAAAATCTTAAAGATGATTTACAATTGGGAAGATGAGGCAAGTAATTAATGTCTGTCCGCGCTGCATTATACATCTGTATATTTCATTAGCGTTCTGTTGGGTCCAGTTACAAAGTTATAACTGCTTGTGTAAAATTTGCACTGAAGTTGTAGAAGAACCAGCTGCAACATAATTTTAGGTGAACAAAACCGCTGTAGAGTGCTAGTGGCATATGCTAAGCATGAGAAGAACGCTTGGAGCTCTCGTTTTGATCCATGATGATCAGAAGTTGAAATAAAGACAAATACCTTTTCGTACCCTTTGAACCCTGAACCCATGATCTCAAGCTACGGCTGAAATCAGTAACTGAATACGGAGTGCCCAGCGAGAACTATCTGCCAGCTGCATTATAGCAGGCGTTAAAATAGATTTCAGTGGAGTCGCTGAATAGACTGTGCTCTATTCACTTTTTTTTTTACACTATTTCCAGTGTAAGGAAATCTGGGAGGGCTATGTGTTTTCCCGAAGGGAAGATAGAAGGCTGCAAGAGACAGAAGTGAGGATGTTTCATTCCAGCACTTCACCATGTCGGATGTGTCACTGCTTGGGCACCTGGGAATGAGTTTGAGGCTTAACGATAGCCATGTAAAAGTAATGTTTGGTAGCATATTACTATTTCAGGGTGAAATAGGAATGGGCAAAAAGTTTAGAAAGTGATCTTAATTCTTAAAGGTAGCTGAAGCGTGACGTGGGAGAGGTTCGGCCAAGTTCCTGTCCAACACAATGTGAGCATATGCATCTTCTCCATGTATTGGAGAATGACTGACTTGCTGGACCTATTAAACTGGAAGGACACAAGGTTATCAATGGACAGCTTTAATTCTGCCTTTTTGGCACCGAATTCCTGAGAAACACTACCTGTAGAAGTTAGTTATTGCTTATATGGGTGTGATTATCACATACACCATGCAGTCGAGATGCAGGAATTGCTGTGCGATTCTTAACTGCTCCTGCCACTTACGAGAGGAATGCTTTGCCTAGATGTTTGCTACTTCCAGTACCAAGAATTAGAAGCACAGCATGCCTCTCAGTCTTGGCAGTTTTCTTGCAGAATGAGTGACTTCTAATACATTAAAGACCTTTCCACCTTCCCCCCACAGTCTCTGTTGCCAGTTCTTTAGTCCTTCCGACACAACAATCAATTGGCGTTTCCAAGTATTTTAGCCCTTAAAACAGATGTTCGTTTATTCCGGTGCCCCCATACAACTGATTTCAAATCTGCAAGAATCAGAAAGGCAGCCGAGTGTGGGAAGACCATGCTTTCTTACACGGCACATCGGTGACGTGGGGCCCCCTGGCAGCCACGCGCCACAGGCCTGGCTCTAGCTTCTCATCCTAACTCCACTGCTATCCCCGACGGGCAATACTTAAAGGTCGCTCTTTCGGGAGCGAACGTAAATCCTCACTGAAAGCCTAAAAGTTAATGGAGGTCACGTAACCAGTGGGAGATTGAGGTTCACTCAGTTTTGAGGAAAGGGGTGCTAACTCGTAGGCACCATTAGCCAATTTCGGAACTAGATCACACATCACGGCCCGCGTCTTCAGGAGGGGCAACTCTTTATCTGTCAAACCTCCTGAAGGTTTTAAGAGCTACCCTCTCCCACCCCGGCTGCGCACTCCCGTCCGCATACGACAGCTTCTGCCCGCTCGTCCCGCGAAGTTTGAAACCGCAGGAGGAGCGCCCGGCTGCGCACCCGCGCCTCCCCACGGCGGGGGGGGG